AAAAACATTGCTAAATTTTTTAATTAATAAAATTTTTTATTTTTCGGTGGATCCGCTGCACAGTACAAAAACGTAAAAATTTTATTAATATTTGCCATCATGAGATGGATTTCGGGGTACAGGCGAAATGGCATTTTTCTGCTACAGCACACGGGAAAAGTGTTTGTGATGGGATTGGTGGCACTGTTAAAAGATTAGCCGCTAGAGCTAGTTTACAAGGCCTTACTCAAAGTACACATCATATGAATTGTACGAGTTAGCTAAAGAAAATAATAATGTCATATATTTTGAATAGATGACCAAAATAAATTATGATTACGAAGATCTATTACTCAGGGAAAGATTTTCAAAAACTAGATCTATACCTGGAACACACAAAATACACCTTGATTCCAACAGATCTACATAATTTAAAAGTAAAATATATTCCAATTTAATAGAAAGTACTTTGGAATAGTTATCATATAATGATGAAAGTATAATTATTGAAGAAATATCATGATACCTAACTTATTTTTATGATTCTAATTGGTGGTTAGCTTTGTTTTAGTGAAAAATCAAAAGCAGGAAGAAATATATATAAAGTTTCTACACCCATCCGGACCTTCAAATTCCTTTACATTTCCAAGATAGACGACACTCTTTGCTTGCCCAAATGTCATATCTTAACATTAGTTTCACTGTTAAATGCTACTGGCCGTAGTTATACTATACATTGTCGTCACAAGAAAGTAAATGCGCTACCGAAAAATTAGAATCTTTTAAAAGTAAGTTTAAATTTAAATTATAGTAATTTTTTTAATATTTAGGGCGCCATATATGAAATGCACAAGATTCTGATTCATATATTCAAGAACTCGAAACTTAATTAAACATATTTTATTAATATTTATTAAATATATGTTATATGGGCAAAAATTTTTATAATAAATTATAAATAAAGTAATAAATTGAATTTCTGTTATCGTTAGACAATTTCTATAATTGAATGAAAGCCCCATTTATTGTTATTTTCACTTACAAGATGAATAATCCTTTAAATTATATCAAATAGTCCAAGAAAAACCATTAAAAACTGATTAATATATAATTTTATACAAAGATGCCCCCTTTCGGGAAAATATTTATACACTTTTCTAAACATTTTTATCGATTTTGAGAATGAAGATGGCCGCGTCCCAGACCAATTTTTTTTTATAAATATAAAGGAAGAGTTTAATAATGTCTACTAAATTTTTTAAAAAAATTGAAGGTCGTATTATTTCCAAAAAATCGTTTTTAGTCCTTATTAGCATTTCCCTCTCTTTTACATGTTCAAATAATCTATATTAAATTTTAGCCGATACGAATCCATGATTATAACTACTCATTAAGGATGCCTATCATCTCAATTTAGGTTATAAATAATTTGAAAATATACTAAGTTCTAGTCAACTCATTTTAACCTTTTCATATTTTAAATATCATAATTGTTATATATATATATTTCGGGGGCGAAGTTAATTTTGAGCATTCATTGTTATTTGTTTTATTAATAATAAGCAGACCTGCAGGCCCGGCCCTAAGCCCGGCCTGGGTACCAGGGCCTGGCCGTATTTTAAATTTTTTAAATATACCCGGGCCGGGCCTGAAAATTTTTTTTAAAAAAACTCGGGCCGGGCCTGAAAATTTTTTTTAAAAAAATACCCGGGCCGGGGCGGGCCGGGCGGGCCGTATTTTTTTTTAAAATTTATACATTGTTATATTTGTCAATTAGATTATATATAGTTATGATTAATATAATGTTTGGTGAAAGTTAACACTATCTAACACTCATAGTATCTATTACATAATAAAATTATAGTTTAAAGGATTAAATACATTATTATATAATATATAATATATGTTATATTTTTTATTAATTAAAATATCATTTTTATTTTTTTTATAAATACATAGTATATTCTCAAAATATTATTTACACAAATTTTTTATAGTATCAATTTGTAATATACTAAATATTTATTTAGAATAAAAAAAAATAAAATATGTTTTTAAACGGCTTCTTTTGAGCCGATTTTTAAAAACGGCTAACTCAGTTTTTTATCCAGAAAAATATTATGCAAGCCTGAAAATTTTGCTCATAGAAGGAGCAAAGGTCTAAACATATAGTATCAAAATTTCGAGGCTTAGTCAATATTTTTCTGGTGAAAATATGAGTTAGCCGTTTTTAAAAATCGGCTCAAAACGAGCCGTTTACTAATATACTTGCTTATTAAATGATAATACTCGCCGAAAAATATGATAAAATACGAAATAATCAATTTTTTGTATATACCAGGTCAAATATAACTTTAAAAAATTCCGAGGCCCCAAAAATTTTTTTAAATATCCGGGCCGGGCCTAAAATTTTAAAATCCGGGCAGGGCCGTAAAAAATTTTTGAAAAAAATCCGGTCCGGGCAGAAAATGTTTTAATCTGGGCCGGGCCGGGCCGTACAAATGGTACCTCTGTTAAGAATTTAATTTTGCGTATATATTCATTGTCAATTTTGTTAATTTATCGAGTCATTATCATGAAAAATATATATTTTATTTTTAAGAGGAGATTATAAACTATATTTATTTTTCAAAATATGCAAGATATAAAAAAGACAAAAAAAGGTAAAAATATCATTATTTTTTTTGTTTAAAATTATTAAATCATTATATTATTTTGTTTATATATTAAAAATTATTTTTCATCATTTGTAAAAAATTAATTATAAATTATTGTGTCGCATATATAAACTTGTTCTTTTTTGGAAATATTTCTGTATCTGTAGAGAAAAGTATAAATAAACAAATTATCTCTGACGTTAAATTGTGTGTCATCTTTATATAATATTGTAAGCGCGAAGTTTAAAATTATTACTAAAGTCCTCTTAAGTGAGGCGGCTGAATATGAAAAAGGGATACCAAAGTCCTCTTACGTGAGACGGCTGAATATAAAAAAGGAATACCAAAGTCCTTTCAAGTGAGGAGGCTGAATATAAAAAAGGGATATCAAAAGTGAGGCGGCTGAATATAAAAAAAGGTGTAACAAATTCCTCTTAAGTAATGCGGCTAAAAAAGGGATACCAAAGTCCTCTTAAGTGAGGCGGCTGAATATAAAAAGGAATACCAGAGTCATCTTATCTGTAAGCGATCTTTGCGCTGTGACCTTTAATAGTAAGCCCTATCGTACGGAAGTGCTGTCCGTTTTTTGTTACATTTTTAAAGTAAGCACTGTCGTACGGAAATGCTGCCCGTTTTGTGGTACATTTAACAGTAAGGCCTATCGCACATAAATGCTGCCAAATTTTTTTTACAGTGGTAGCCAGGACGTTGTGGGAAAAAGAAGGCGTCGATAATTATTTTATATAATAATAATAAAAGGTATACGGGAATTACAAAGTTTAAAGCTGTAGATTTATCCGGATCTTAAAAGTTGGTGGATGTATATGTGCATCATTTGACTATTTTCACTATTGATAATATCTTATCTGTTGACATTACAAATTACCAAAATATTTATTTTGAAGTTGATCATAAACTCTCTATGTTTAAAATTTGTGGTATTGGGAAATATAATATAATGTTTTTAGGGCGTTGATTGTGTTACTAATATGGTTGTGTAGTTTAATCCTGGGAAAAAGGATAAGAAGCTGGAGCGCGAAGATAAAGGGGCAAACTTTGACGATTGAAGTACAATGGAGGGGAAGATATGATGGGCCGAGTAACGTGGTTACCGGTGCAGGAATTAATTAAAGGGTAGATTGATATAGAAATCAGAAGAAAAATAACCAGGAGATTGATAATCGGTATAGAGGATCTGGATATAATCAAGTGTGGGGGGCATATATAAGACCGAGAAAAAATTCACAAGGATGGCGAGTGGAAATGAGATTATTGATTCGCGAGGATCTGGGAGAAAAGGCCATATGATGAGAGATTGTCGGGAAACGAAATGTTTCTAATGTGGAAAATATGGTCATATAGCCCCGTACTCGAGCAATTATAACACCAAAGGAGGTTTTCCGCAGAGAGTAATGGGTCAAAGTGCCCAGATCGTGCGAACTATTGAGAGCGAGAAAGTGGAAGGATTGTTGGACATATTTTGAAACAAACTGGAGAACAAAACATAATGTTTTAGATGTCGAAAAGAAGGGCAAATAGCAAGAGATAAAAATTTATGACTATATAATAGCGATGAATCATCAATGAAGGTCGGGGTGTGGCAGTATAAAAAAATTAATATAAATATAATAGTCCTAGAGTGTAGTTGAATTTAAATGGGAGTATGGTATCAATGTTTTTTGACACCGGAGCGGCAATATCTATGATGGGTCGGGCCATATATTTTTTTAAAAATTCGGGCCGGGTCTGGTCGGGCCTTGGAATTTTTTTAAAATATATCTAAATTTATCAATTATATGTTGAATTTTTTATGTAAAATAAAAATATTAAATTTTATTTATAGAAACTAGACGTAATATAACATATATCTTTTATTTTGAGTAATTATAAAAGTTAATTTCTATATTTAAATAAATTCGGGTCGAGCCAAGCCGGTAAAATTTTTAAAAAAAAATTTAAATTCGGGTCGAGCCAAGCCGGTAAAATTTAAAAAAAAATTCAAATTCAGGCCTGGCCGGGCCGGCAAAACTTTTTTAAAAAAATTTCGGGCTTGGCCAGGTTTAAAAATTAGGACCGATGCAGATTACTACCTTATAATACTTTAAAAAAAATTCTAAGTTTGACTTTACTGACCATATAATTAAAATTAAGATAGTAAAAAAATTATGAAAAGAAAAATTGAGCATTCCTTTATCTTTCAAAATATAATAACAAACCAAAAAATCAACGATGAAATTTTTGTACTTGATTTAATTTTTAAAAATTGACAATTTCATTCATTTTGTATTATTTTATTACTTTAATTTAGTTCTTTATCTCATATTTTAAAATGTTAAAAATATAATTGCAATAGTAAAATAAAACCTTAGGTCCTTTAAGCGAATCATAACTATCTCCAGATTTTCCTGGTAAGCCAGCTAGTCCTGGTTTTCCGGCCACCCCTGGTGGTCCTGGTAATCCAGGATTTCCATATTCTCCCTTTTCACCTTTAAATAACATTAATTATAGCAATAATGAATTAATTTACCTTTATAGGACTGTAGGCGAGTATAATCTATTTGTGCAGGCTCACCTTTTTGTCCAGTAAATCCACTCATTCCATCTAAACCTGGTTGGCCCTAAAAAATTATTCCATTTTAAATAATATTTTTATAATTAATCAAATATAGAGCAAGACATGTAAAGTCTAATTTTTTCGGCCCTAGCCCGTCAGCAGCCTCTAGGCACAGTAGTGGCCTGTTTCGGGACGCTGTCCATATTTTTTAAAAAGCTTATAGGAAAGAAATCTAAATAATTTTATGCTCATTTTAATGTTATGTATTAAATATTCGACAATATTTTTTATAATTTAATGAGGTTTAACAATTTTTTATTATATTAGTTACAAAATATCATCTGAAAATGAATAATAAGTAGTAAGTCCGGCGGTTGCGTTGATTATTTTACTGCCAGGCCTGGCTGACGACCCGCCCCTGCAGGACTTTAAGCTGTAGTTAAATGAGTGGGATTAAACTTTATAAAATTGTAAAAATAATATTCGTTTAAATTAATATTCGTATGAAGCAATTGAATAATATTAGAATACTTATAATTTATTGAAATAATTCTAATTAAATGAATATTATTCCAATAAATGGGTAATTCCATGAAAAATCGACCAGTGATTCTGCCGACTATCTTAAAAATGAATGAATGGCATGTTAGTTATTTATGTTGTAAATGTTAATAATATCCAAATTTTAGAGCGCTAGTTCAACCATATCCAAAGATACACGCTTCGAAAATCGCGTAATGTTTGAATTCATTAAATCTTTATACTTAAGATAGAGTTAGAAATAATATATCATTTTTTAGCCCTTAAATTTTTACATTGAAAAATATCGAAAAAAAATTAAAAAATTCTAAGTGTTTTCGTATTTCCGGTAAAAATAAAAAATTAACATTGTTAGGAATGGATTTTTTTGGGGGTAGATATTCTCTAAAAATATTTATTACTTTTATATTATACTATTTAATAAAAAATCTAGATAACAATTTTTGATATTTTAATTTTATTAAAATTTTTATTATTTTTATAAATTAGATAGCGTTATATTATCTAATAAAAAAAAATATGTATTATATTGGTATTAAAATTTTAAAAAATCGATTAAGTATAATCAATATGATGTCCTGGGGCAATAAGTAATTGTTGACTCTATATTTTAAAATATACATATTTTAACAAACAATTATAAAAAACAATACCTCTTGTTTTAATCTTATCCCATTTTGCGCTTATTAATAGAATTTCCTGAGGCAATAATTTGTATAGGTCCTGTCACTTTTGTGGGATCTATTATCGTTATTATTTGATTTTTGGGCAACCATATCTTTTCCTCAATTGTGGGGTAGTAAAAGGAGAGGATGGTGACGGTCCATGGGGATCTAAAAAGGAAATATATGGATCTAAAAAGGAAATATATATCTCCTCAATAATTTCATTATTTAGTACTGTGGCTAACCACCAAAATCGTCATAAACACATGTTACGAATCCTTTAATATAGGCAAGACAAATTATCGGCATTTGATATTGTTAATTTGAAAGTCCTCTGCATATGAATATATTTTTCATAGGTTTTCTTAAACTCAAACGAAACAGAATAATTTCCCGAGTTCCTGGAATGAGGCAAGATAAATTGAATCTTTCTCGTAGTTTAATCTCTTCTAAATTGTATTGTTCGTTGGTTATATATGTAAAATTTACTGATGGCATGTTTTGTTTTGCAAACTGATATAAATCAATTGGTGTTAAAATATGTCCAGAACTGGTGCGCTTAAGGCTTGAACGTGCTGCTAATCTTTTTAATTCCGCCAAGCCCGTCACATAGACTTTTCCCATGGTATGTAGCTGAAAAATTCCATTCAGCTGCTACACCAAAATCTGATTCATGAAAACATAGATTTAAACAATTTTTGTTTTTATATTGCGCAGCTGATCGTCAGTGCAGTAATATATTTTACTGGTCATAAAAATAACGATAGAAGATCCAAAACAATGAAAGGATATATCTAGAAATTATGGCCTCAGGATTCTATTAATAAGCGCAAAATGGAATATGAAAAAATAAGAGATATGATTTTATAATAGTTTGAATATAAAATTTTAAAATAAGTTTATTTTACAATATAGCGTCCTATTAATCATATCTATGTGAACTGCCTGCTATATCGCCCCAGAACATCATTTGATTTTTAATCCCAATACAATTCATATTATTTTTATTAAAAATATTATATTATAATGATTTTTGAATATAATGCCATCTATAATATTATCTTATAAATAATAAAAATTCAAATAAAATTAAAAAAACAAAAATGGATATAAAGTTTTTTTGTTAAATAGTTTAATATAGGTAACATTTTTAGAGAATATCAAGACCCAAAAAAATCCCTTACTAACAATGTTAATTTTTTACTTTTACCGGAAATAAGAAAACACTTGGAATTTTTTTATTTTTTATTTATTTTCGATATTTTCCAATATAAAATTTTAAGGGCTATAAAATGATATATAATTTGTAACTCTATCTTAGATATTTTTTAAAAAACAATTAATGAAATCACGCATTGCGAGATTTTTGATTTTGAAGGAGTATATCTTTGGATCTGGTTGAGCTAGCACAAAATTTTGAATTTACAAGAATGTACAAAATAGATAACCATCATGCCAAGTTTCGTTCTTTTTAAAGATGGTCGTCCGAAAATCTCGTTTTTTTGGTCGTTTTAGATTCTTAAAACGAAGCACTAGTATTGACACAATTAAAAATTCACTTTAGAAAGGGATTTAAATTTTCTTTTAGAGTATGAAGATGATAATATGAATTACTTTGAAGGGACTCTTATATAAATAGGAGTGAATTGGGGGGGGGGGATACAAATTGTTAATAAAATATTTTATTTCATGAAAGGATTGTGCGACAATTTAGCGATAGAAAGTATTATCTTTGAGAGACAAAGAATTAGAAAAATTATACAAGCTCATTTTTATGATATTTTTTAAAAATATCATTAACATATTATATAATGAAAAATGTTTCAAACGAAAATATCAAAATTCTTTGAAAATAATTTCATAAATTATGATAAGAAGTAAAGATCACCGCAAATCCAGATCTCCCTGGTTGTCCAGAATCGCCATCATCCCCTTGTTCGCCAATTTCACCTTGTTCTCCATGCGAACCTCTTTCTCCTTGTTTACCTGGGAACCCATCCATGCCTCTTTCACCTTTTGTTCCTTTTTCTCCTGACCTGCAAAAATTACATGTGCCCCCAGGTTCCCCTAATATTACATAGAATTGAAAAAATTATCATCATATATAATAAAACCTTTTCCTCCCTGTGGACCAATTGGTCCTGGTCTGCCGTTAATACCAAGATATCCCGGTTCTCCTTTGGGTCCTGGAATCCCAGTGGGACCACTTACCCCATCAATTGTTTCTCCTGGGTATCCTTATTATATAGTATATGTTATAAATTTTGTGAATTAAATAATATTTAAATTAAATTAAAATTATTCATTTAGGTATTTATTACCGGCTGGTCCATCGAAACCGCGTTCTCCTTTGTTCCCAGGGATGCCATCCAATCCTGGTAATCCGTCCATTCCCGTAGGACCACTAATACCCATTCCAGGTACACCAACATATCCTAACTCACCTTTAGCTCCAGAAGGACCTTGCAATCCAGGAAATCCCTGAGTTCCGGGAAGACCTAATATTTATGATGTATGTGTGTGCATGTGAAGTGTAAATATAACCTGGTAAGCCCGAATCTCCTTTCTCCCCCTTTTCTGAAGATATGCCTTGAATACCAGGAAAACCTGACAAGCCAGGACTACCTACAGGGCCCACAGGCCCTCGAGGGCCTGGAAACCCAGCTAAACCCTCCGTTCCTGGAGAACCTTGTCTCCCAACTGCTCCTTCTGATCCAATTCCCCCAGAAGGCCCAGTTCTTCCTTCCATATCGCTCTTTTAAAAAACATTTACATAATTTTGATAATAATATTTAAAAATATGTTAAATTTAGTTTGTATAACATCATCCTAACTAAACTAGTTTTTAAATATGCAAACTAAAAGAAGATCAAACGTTCATCGTTTATTATTTTCGAGACTGAAGGTACCCTAACTCTATATCTGGAATGGGGCGCATTCTATAGATTCTATTTAATATTCAATTTTATCGTTCTAGAAGAGAAATAAGCAGCGGCAAAAAGATTATAAACGAAAAAATTTATTGGGAATTTAAATTACTAAATAAATATTACTCATATATTTTATTTAAAATTATGTTTTTAAAACTTTTAATATAATATTTAAGTAGAGGAACAAATATGAATGGAATATATTCTGCATGAATAAAAAAATAGAATCTATGAATTTATCCAATGTGCTACCTAAAATCTAATCGGAAATTATAAAACCAGTAATGTAGTGAAATTAGTATTAAAATATTCTAAAAAAAATTGTAAACCATCATAAAAATGAAATTTTAATAGCTAAACCAAGATTGAGCTCAAATTAATATATCGGGATTAGTGTTGTTAAATCATCTAACTTTAACCAACTACAGTAAGCAAAGCGTTCAGTCTGAGAAATCGCTTTAAAACTTTATGAAAAATTGAATTAATTTATAAAAACGGTTAAATATCAAGTATTTATTTTAAACATCCAAAAAAATCGTTCGGTCAATTTGTAATATAAAAATATTTTGAATTATTATATTATGATAAAATATACTCCAGCAATTCCGGGAGCGCCTAATAGGCCAGGCCGGCCATCCGGGCCAGGATCACCTCTTAAACCAGGTTCACCTAATAGTCCATCAACCCCTGGAAACCCATCATCACCTCGATCACCCTGTAAATATTATTTATATTTAATATAATCGATTATAAACTTTAAATCCAGATGGTCCAAATAATCCAATACGTCCTTCTTTACCCTACACATATATAGTTAGTTTAATTTAAATAATTTGTAAATACTCGTTTGCCAGCAGGACCCATTATTCCCTTTTCACCTTTTGAGCCTCTCAATCCAGGTATACCCTGAAAATATAAAATTGTTTTAAAGTAATGTGACAGGTCGCAATTAAATATACAGATAGTTTGATAATATAAATTAGTTTGCTAACTTCAATAAAATTTGCTAACGAAAGTGTAAAGTTATAAAAAGTAAAGATCACATAATTTGGTAAAGCTTGATTTATAAAATTTAAAAAGAAATAGATAAAAAACCGGTTTTCCTAAAGCGCCATCTAATCCTTGAGGACCTGGATCTCCACGATCTCCTGGGTATCCAGGATTTCCTGGTGGGCCTCTGGGACCCTCAAATAAACTTTCTATGCCTTCTTGATATTGATATGTTCCAGGAGGACCGGGAGGACCAGGGGGTCCTTGGTCGCCCTATTTTTATAATTATGTAAAGTTTCAATTAATTTTATTCTTTTTATGCGAAGTGAAGTGCGCCACTGATAGCCAACAATTTTTGTTAAGCTATGATTGTTGACTTAGAGCTATGCAAGTCAACTTAAATCTGCCTAAAACCATAAAAAATTTGGCAAGTCTCCTAAAAAAAGCAGGATAGGATCGGGTTAATTTTGAAGATAAAGCCAGGTTTACCAAAATATTTTAAATTACCAATTAATGCTTACTCTTTTAAATTAAAGTAAACCTTGTTCAATGTTATATTTTTCATTTAAAAATTTCGTATCATCCGTGGTTCACTCCTAAGATAAAATTTGGTCCAGGCCAGGCTTTAACATAAATTTAATTCAAGCCCGGCTTAACAATAACTATAAAATTTTGGCCAGTCCGGCTCGAGCCTAAAAAATTGAAACTGCAGGGATCTACGGTTGATTATCGTGTTGGAGTCATAAAAATCTGGGTTGAAGATTATATTTAATAAAATTCGTGATGTGAAATAATATTTTTCCCAATTTATAAATATTATATTTTAAAATAGTGTATAATAATGATTCCATTTTAAATTATACAGAAGTTGAGAGAATCTAAATTTTATCATCCATTAAATAATACTTCTATAAACTTGTTTAATCCATCTCGAGCCTAATAAATTTCAACATTTGTTAATAATTTATTTAGATCGAATGATAGATAATAATAACAATCCATGGTAACTAAGAATAAATGATAAAAATGATAACCAGGTAACGAAACGCTATATATGTGGAAATATAAATTTCGTACATAATTGGAAATAAGCATGTTCCGGTCGGAATCCACATGATTTATATATGGTTACTCTATAAATGTTTTGCCCTAACCGTTTAAAACGAGTTTTCGTAAATAAAATTTGTAAAGAAAAAAAAATTATAAATAAATTGAAAAGATTTTTTTGTTGGATCTGGAAGTTTCTAGGGATATTTTCTGCCTAAGATATAAGTTTTCTTTCAACTAAATAAAACTTAATTATAATGAAGATAAAATTATATATTCTTTTGAAAGAATGTCGCGGTAGATCCATGATTTTTTTTAGATAAAATCATTAATTATAATTTTAAAGAAATGAAAACGCCATAATAAATAAATTATAGAAATGCATATTTTTAAAAATGTTTTTCTTTATTGTTTAAAAAGTGATCAGCATTATATTTTTATAAATAAATTAAATATTAAATATATTAAAAATTCAATTATTAATTATGCATAAATATTTGAAGAAAATTTTTTTTAAATAATTGGTATTATTATCATGATAAATTAATTCTACTTAGTTCCTCATAAACAAGAGTAAGGTATTTTTGTGATAAAAATCATTTTAATTTTTTTGCAATTTCTGATAAATTCGGTAAAAACATAAGTCTATTAAGCATAACATATACACGCTACGCGATGATATATATTTGCCTAAATACCGGCGTTATTATAATTTTGCGATGTGGAAATTTATTTATAATATATTTTAAAGTTGAATGAATAAAGTAATAAAAAAAATTACAAGCTCCCCCTTTTCCCCCCAAAGTCCGATTCCCATATTTCCTTCATCTCCACGTGGACCTCGATTTCCTGCTATTCCAGGAAATCCAGAATTTCCTAAATCGCCTTTAGATCCAGGATAACCGTCTATACCAGGAAGACCCTTTATACATTATATTTTCAGTTGGATACATATATATATTGTCATAATTAATGTAAATTTTTGTAAAATCATCGTTGGTAGGATTTAGATTTGTAAAATTTGATTTTTGGTAAAGTCATTATGTATTGCGTTTTGTAAGTTATTTTTATTTTATATAATTTTATTTTTAGTTTTATCGCGTTAACATTTTATTTTTAGATTTGTGAAATTGGTATATTGTGAAGTAATTATGATTGCGATTTTTTGAGTTATTTTTATTTGATATAATTTTGTTTCTAGTTTATCAATCGGATTTTCAGCATGATTTTTATAATTTTTAAAAAAATGTATTTTTAGCATGATTATGATTTTTATCATTTTAAAAAATATATTTTTAGATATTTATTGTTTCGACTTATTTTTATAGCTTCCCTATAAGGGAAGCAAATAATAATTATCAATTCGTATTTTTTTTCTGTTTTTAAAAATTTATTGTAGAATAATTTTTTTCCCTTCTAGTCTGTATTATAAATTGTGGAATTTAATAAAGTTTTGTCTCAAAGAGTATTCGTAGATTAATATTCTTAAATTAATAAGAGGCACAACGTGATATATATATATACTATATTTCAAAAACTCTGAACTTTAAATAATAAAAGTAAAAAATAACTATACTGGTAATCCTGATATCCCGTCTCTACCCAAATCCCCCTTGAGTCCAGTTGAAACTTGGCCTATAACAGCTGGTTCACCCATAAGCCCTTTTAATCCAGGATTCCCAGGTAGTCCTGTTTGTCCGGGTGGGCCTAAAAGACCAGGTAAGCCCATCATTCCCTAGAGTATGTGTAATGATTAAAGTATTTAAAAATAAGATAAAAATTTAACATCCGTTCCATTGCAACCATCAGCTCCAGGAAATCCTCTAGAACCAGAAGATCCTTGAATACCAGGAATACCATTTATACCAGGAAATCCGGGCATACCCATTTTCCCCTAAATATATTAGATTATTATAATCTCAATATATGATTACCCTATCGCCTTTGGGACCCATTGGTCCAGGTGCACCGATTTCTCCTTTTCCCCCTTTTATTCCTTCTATACCTGTATCACCGGGAAGTCCTAATGGCCCTTGTAGGCCCTGAAGTCCTGGAGGCCCTGGGATACCCTTTCAATTAAAAATAAATTTCATATATATGGTATCGAAAGTTTTACATTTTTTTTGGCATAAAAATTTAACACATAAATAATATATAATCGACTTTAATAAAGCCTTAATTTGGGGTTTAGTTTGATAAAGTTAATTAAGTGTAAGTGTGTGAATAGATTTCTAATAACCAAATTTTTATAAAAGATCAAATTAAAAATAAAATAGCACTAAAAAAGTTTATACAATTTTTCATGTAAATTTTTTAGCAGAATATATATATATATCTAATTCCACATATACTAGCGACCATTTTATAAAGATAAATGAGAGTGAAAAAGTTTGTTTTTATGAATAAGGAGCAATAAAAATGTATAAATTAGAAAATTACTAATTAGGATATATAAACTGTTAACAGGGAAAAAAAATTTTAAATAATTAATTATGTTGAAAAGAAAGAAAATAATTTATAATATATTTTACGTACAAGTAATCAAAAAAAAATTAATTAAATGTTTTGGTGAATGAAAAAGAAAAGATAATATATAGTTATTGATAAAATTGATTATAAACAGAGGACAATCAAATATTGAAATAAATACTAACGAAACCAACTGTGAATATGAACGTATCATAAACAACAATAATGAGACTACCACTGAAAGTGCTATTTGATTTTTAAATTACTTATTTGACTTTTTATTATTTATGAGTAATTTGGAAGGCGTGTTGTGTATTAAATTATTTTATTATTATCCTCAACATCTTTAAAAAAATTTAAATTATTTTATATATACTTTTTTTATATAAGATAGTTATTGGAAAATTAAAACCATTATTATCTTTTATTTTTATAAATTGAAGCTTTTAAAAAAGTTACTTTTAAGAGTAGTATAAATCATATATAGTGTTTTGAAAATTTTAATCCGATATTAAAATAAATTAAAACCACATATGCATAATTGTATATTAACCATTAGAGTTGAATATTCTAGAAGAATCACCCAAAAAATCTTTCATTAGCTTTCATTTTTACCCTTATTTTTAGAAAAAATTTGTAACCCCTCTCCATTCTCCGACGACATAAATTTGGACGTAGAGTATATTAGGAACACTCAAAAAAATATTCCTATTTGCTTTCATTTAACATGCTTGTCAAGATACTTTTCGGAAAAAGATTAACACCTCTTCCCTCCCTACGACTAAGTCTTGAGGACCTATGATAATTATTTTGATAGCACTCAACTATTTTTTAATTAGTTTTGATTTGATACCCTTTGTCGAGATTATTTTTTAATTTACCCCCCCCCCCATCCTAAACTTGAGGACTTAGAGAATAACAATTGTGGGGTAATTTTAAAAAAGCACACGTGGGTCATTCTATATCAAATCAATCAATTTACAACCCGCCCATTTTAGATTTTGCTAAAATTTGGTATATAAGTTAATTAAGTGTTGTAATTGATGAATTCAAAATATTAGCCCCTTAACTCTATTAGAACCGGTGATATAGGTCTCAAAGTGGCCTTGCTTGGTCGTTTTACGAAAAAAGTGATTTTTAAAATAGGGATAACTTTAATATTAGATGCACTATATATATCAATCATGGCTCATTTTATAGTCCTAAGTAAACTCTTCCACGTATTTTAAATAATTTTAATTTTTATTTTTAATTGCGGTCAAAAACTTATAATTAATTTTTTTAAATGTTAGTCTAAATTTTTTTACTCTATTGTAAAGAGTACCAAGAAATGTTCATATAAAAATTTTCAGAATGTTGAAAAAAAGATTAAGTAGGAAAAATGTTTAAAATAAAAATTCCGCTAGTGGCGTTAATAATTTTAAATGGCTTAAAACTTCATTTTTGAAAATAATAGTCAATCTATTTTTTATTTATATACCATAATATAATATTTGTTGAATAAAATCGCATTTTGGCACAAAAATAAAATTGCCGCGAGATAGCGCAAGTAATTTAAAAAATATAGCTAATTATGATTTAAATTAATTATCGATTTTTCGATTCATTTTCCATAAATTTATCGATTTTTAAAATTAATTAATACTATTTAAATTTGAATATAATAATATCTAAAAATCCTTCTAATATAAATAAACATTTATCAAAGAAGAGATTAAAATAAGTACTTGGATGACAGAATTTGCCAAAATCAATATTGGAGATTATATCTGTATTGCATGCCGCTTAACTTTATATAAATATAAAAAGGAGGGTATTCCAAATTTCCAGGAAAACAATACCGATACAACTTCTAATGAATTCTTATCCGCCATAGAAGTAGAAAATGATACTCCAATTAATAACGATAAAGCACAACTCCCTATATCTTTCTTGGAATCCTTAAATTTAACGTTATTAAATATTGGATAATTTCTAATTTAGAAAAAAGAGATTAAAAGAAAAGTAATGTACTAAGCAAAAGCTTGCAAAAATTTCAAAGGGTATATAGAAAATTACTCAACCAGCGATGGAAATAAAAATAGCAACGTTTTGATAATTCAAAATAGTTATGTATGCTCCAATTTGGAGGTAATGTCGTTAATAATAGATACTTATGTGTTTTAAATAAGAATTGATAATCCTCCGAATTGGAGCATTCATAACTATATTTTGAATTATCAAATTGTTGCTATTATCTCCATTTCTGGCGTTGCTATTATTTATCTCCACATCTGGTTGAAGAATTTTGTCTATACCCTTTGAAATTTTAACAAGCTTTTGCTTAGGATATTATTTTTCTTTTAGTTTCTTTTTTTAATTGGAGATTGTCCAATATCTAATAACGATGAATTTAAGGATTCGAAGCAAGATATAGGGAGTTGTGCATTATCGTTATTAATTTGAGTAGCATATTCTACTTCTATGGTGGATTTTAAGAATTCATTGGAAGTTATAGCGGTATTGTTTTCCTGGTAAATTGGAATACCCTTTCTTATATTTATATAAAGTTAAGCGGCATGCAACACAGATATAATCGCCAATATTATTTTGGCAAATTCTGTCATCCGGTGACTTACTCCAATCTCTTCTTTGATAAATATTTTTTATATGAAAGATTTTTACATATCATGATATTAAAATTTAAATAATAAATTTATCGGGAAAATGAATCGAAAATCGATAATTAATTTACATCATAATTAGCTATATTCTAAATTACTTGCGCTATCTAGCTGAAATTTTATTTTTGTGTTAAAATGCTATTTTATTAACAAATATTATATTATGGTATATAAATAAAAGGTAGAATAACTTTTATTTTCAAAAATTAAGTTCTAAGCTATTTAAAATTATTAACGCCATCTAGCGGATATTTATTTTAAGAATTATTATTACTTAATCTTTTTTTTACCACACTGAAAATTTTTATATGAACAGTTCTTGGTACCCTTTACAAAATATCTGAAATTTGGAAAAAAAAATTTATACTTATTATTTAAGTATATTTGCTTTATTATATATATATAGGTGGTTTTATACTTCCTTTATTAGAATATTTCGTATAGTTTATAAATAAAAATATAAGACGTTAAAAACATTATAATTTTAGAATAAAAATTATTTGTAAAAAAAATAATAATTATAATTTTTTCCCCTTTTTGGGTTTATATAATTTTTGAAATTGTTAAAATAAATATATATTTATTAATAATTAGAAAAATATAATATTACGCCTTATAACAATGACTCGATAAAAAAAAATATAATTCATTAGTAATCCTATAAAAAATAATATTTATTAACAATGACTCAACTATTATTATAATAACTTCTGTTACTCAAAAAAAACGAAATATATAACAATACTAACATTTAAAAAAATTAATTACAAATTTTTGACAGCAATTTTAAAAAATTTTATAAATTAATTTTATTTAAAATACGTGGAAGAGTTTACCAAGGGTTATAAAATGAGCCATAATAGACATATAGTGCATCTAATAAAGTTATCCCTATTTTAAAAAATCATTTTTTCCGAAAATGGCCAAGCAGGGCTACTTTGAAACCCTATATCTCCAGTTCTAGTAGATTTCGTCAATTACAACACTTCATTAACTTAAATACCAAATTTTAGCAAAATCTGAGATGGTCGGGTTGTTAAGTGATTGATTTGATATTGAATACCCACATGCACTAAAAATAATTTAAAGCATTGAAAATGTAAAAAAATTTTCTAACAATTTATTATATCATTTGAAAAAGAGAAATAAAAATTTTATATTGGATTTTTAGAAAAAAAGTTGAGAAAATTAGTAAAAATCCCTATAAGTTTAATTCTAGCAATTAAGGAAAGAATTCTGAACATTTCAATTTTTATTCTGAGCTAAATAATATGTCTAAATATAATATACCCTCGCTCCTTTTTCGCCTACGCAAGTACATTTTGAATTCGAACAATCTCGACCACGACAGTCTTTGGGGCGAGGTAAATAATATTGTTTTCCCTGAATATATTTAAATTAATTAATACTCAGCAAAGTCATTCAATAATAAATGAATATTTTAAATGAGCTAATTCTTTTACTTCATATTATTTATAAAATTTATACATTTATGATTACAAAAAATATAATAAACAATTTATAAAAACATAGCTATTAGATTAGCACTATAAATAAATTCGAGACCTGCAGGCCCGGTCTGGAGAAGACCGTAAAAACGGGCTTTGCCAGCACTTAAAAATACAAATGCAAAATCCTGGTAAGATCAAATTTTTTAAAATAAATTAAATTATACCAACTAATTAGTTTGAAATCATGTAATCGATCTTTTTTTTTCTAGAACAATTTACAAAATAGTGATAAAATTATTTTACATGACAAAATTTTAAAAATCCAGGCCGAACCGTGAAATGGTTAAAATTTTAAAATCCAAGCCGGACTAAAAAAATTATTAATTCGTCCTGGCCAGGCTGGGTTTTAAAATGAAATTTTAATTCAGGTCGATTTTAAAATTTAATCTAGCCTAGTCTTTTAATAAATATTTGAATTGGGGATACAGAAAATTTTTACTATTTGTAAAAATTTAATTGATATTTAAAATATATTACTCCTGATTCGATGAATGGGATATACGTAGATAAAATAAGTAAGATCAAGAATGAAGGTGATATAGATAGCGGAAAAATTCCATAAGCTCTATATATCAATATGGTTTTCGTTTTTTTCATTAATCTAGATATATAATATAACATTTTAAAGAATTAAATAGTCATTCGTATATTTAAAATGTATTTCGCAATATAATCTAAAACAATGTTCCTATATATGATCTTTTTTAAAATAATATATTATCATAAAGGTTCCTATCAACAACATTTTCAATATCTGGCCCTAGGGTGAGACCTTAGGCTGAACTGTGCAGATTTATAATATAAAAAATTAATTCTTTTGCTGATTCATTTATTTCTATTATTAATCGCTAAAAGTATTTAGAGCTACCCACAGTTCAGCCTGCAAACCAACAGGGATGAAAATTTTAACGGAGTAAAATTTAAACTTTAAATTCAAAACCATAATCTAAAATTTTTACAAACTTATTGAATGCAATATGATATCAAGTCAACGCAGGCGCGTACGCAGGAATTTCGTCTAGGGGGGGGGATAATAAATTTTTTTAAGAAATATTATTGTTTTTTAAAAATATCAAGCATAAATTTATTAGAACTAATAACTATTTCTAATACACAATTTTAAATTAATGTGAATTATAAAAAATTATATGTATAAACCGTCATATAAAAAATATAAAATAAATGTGAATTAAAAAATATTAAACGGATATAACTGGCGGTATAGAAAAACTATAAAATAAATGTGAATTATAAAATATAAGTTAATATAACCACTATATGAATTACTTAAATGACCCAAAATAGAAATTTAAATTTTTTGAGCCTTTAAAATTTATATACATAAAAAATTTAAATGTTGGAAATATAAATTAATACACAAAAAGTTTTTTAGGAATAATTGTATTTTGTATGTTATGTATTTACATGTAAAATCCAATCTTATTTGGGAATGAGCTAATTTTTCAATTAACTCATCCTTGTTTGTCGTCAAATTGCCTATGAATATTCAAAAGATCCAAACCTTTCAATCTACTTTCAGAAGTTGTACTTCTTGGTATGTTTTTAAGAGACCTGCAGGCCCGGCCATCGGGCAGAACCGTATTTTAATTTTTTTAAATATACCCAAGCCGGGCCCGAATTTTTTAAAAAAAAACACCCGGGCGGGGCCTGAAAATTTTTTAAAAAAATATCCGGGCCGGGTTGTTTATTTTAAAACAGCCTATATTTGAAATCTTTATTATTAGCTATAAAAATCAAAAAGAAATATAATTTATGGAAAATATTCTTCTTTATTGCTTTATATCACAAAATTTTTAATGAATCAAATTGGTACATTTAAATTTATATTTATAATATCAAGCAATAACAATTAAATATCAAACAATAAGAGAATATAAGTAACAGAAAAATATCATTTGCTACCAATACTTAGTGACAGAAAATATCCTTCCTTTACTGCTTTAAAATATCACAATTTTTTAATGATCAAATTGGTACATTTAAATTTATAATTATAATTTTATATCATGCAGGAACAGATAAATATCAAAAATATCCTTTATTGCTAATACTTATAACAGGAAAATATTCTACTGCTCACAAAATTTTTAAGAAGGTAAATGTGATCACAAAATAATAACTTCTATTTATTTATTAGCTTTAGTAATAATGGATGAAGCTGAGAAACAAAGGGTAATATCTATTATTCACCAAGGATCAGATATATCCCTAGAATCTAAAGCTATTGGTGCCCACCTAGGCATTAATAAAACTCAACTTAAACTCTCTGAAAGGTATTTATTATGGTGTTAAATTGTTAATTTTGTGTTTATAGATATTGGTGGCCAAAATTATTTTAAGACACTATTGATTTTATAAAATCATGTGATAAATGTCAGAAGGCCAATACAAGATTTTTAAAAATTTCTTCTACTTTGAATCCAATAGATGTACCACCTCTTCCATGGGCTCAAGTAGGAATTGATCTTTGCAGCCTGCCCACTTCAGAAGAAGGCTACACATGTATTGCAGTTGCCTCTGATTTTTTCACAAAATGGGTTGAGGCAGAACCTATGAAATCAAAGACAGCTGAAGAGACTTGTAAATTTATTTATGGTCTGATTTGCCGCCATGGCTGCGCAACTGTAAATCAAATTATATAAATATATATCGGTTAAAAAATGTGCATATATGATAATTTATAAACTTTTGATTTTATACAATATAGATACAAATCAATGATCAAGAGAGTTTGTGAATGAAATGGCCACGAGATTACATAAAATGACAGGGACGGAGCAACGCATTTGCAGTGCATATCATCCTCAAGCTAATAGGTTGACAGAAAAGAGTAATCGTACTATTCAAAACTTAATGTTAAAGGTTTTGAGTGATGATCAAACACTATGGCCTAGGGTTCTTCCGGGGGTATTATTTGCAATGCAAACCAGTGTCCACAAATCTACAGGATTCACCCCATTTTATATGATGCATGGTCGGAACGCAAATCTGCCATCAGAAATTCGAAAATTGAGCCAGATATTGTTAAGGAAATCAATAATAATATTGAGAATGACTTTGAAGAGAGTGAATTATTAGAAAGAATAATGAGCCTATCAGTCGTATGGAAAAGGGCAAAAGAAAATATACTTGTTGCCCAAGATAGACAAAAAAGGGATTATCAAAAAAGGCAAAAGGATAAAATCCCTTATGAAGTCGGGCAACAGGTCCTGATCTGGAACTCACGACGTGCGGATAGAAAGGGTGGGAAAATGTCCGAATCGCTGCTTGAGAAAAGAGATCACAGGCAGCGAGGATCACCATGCAATTATAAGGGGATCTATAATCTCTTATATGATGCTGTTGGAAAATAATGATATTTTTATTGATGGGGAAAAACATAATAAAACATTTGGTTGATACAAAAAAACATCAACTTGGATCGTGGGCGTATGAATTAGATATCGTAGCATCTGCTACGTTTTCCCAGACGCCTTATCAAAAATGGACTGTATAAAAAAATTTAATTTAAATATATATTTGATAAATGCATCTTCAGATCATTTTAATTATTATAGTGTAATATACACTCCTCAATTTTTTGTGATAATTATGTTTCCTTTTTTGGGATATATTTTCTTTTTATAATATTTTTTTTGTTTTTTTGAAATAAAATTATGTATATCCTTTTTATTTAAATAGTATTAAGAAATCAGCCAGTTTTAATATTATTGCAATAAAATATATATATATACAAACAAAAATAGTTGTTTCAGTTTAAAAGAATAATTTAAACATTAAGATTTGATTTTAAACCTAATTTTATATCTGTATAAAAAATTTTGTATTCCATAAATATAAGTGTTAAATTTTAATCAGCTAAAAATATAATTATATATACATCTAATAAATAAAATGACGATTTTAAGAGGCCAAGAGGAAATGATTAATCAGAGTGATAGATAGTGATTGGGGTGCTTTGACATAATAGAAAACCTTATTTGTTTGTGATTTGCTTACTTTTGTCTATTAAAATTTTAAGGCTTGAGATTCCAATAATACAATGTATAAAAAAATTAGTATACATTTTATTTATTTAAAATTTTCTGCAATAATTTACATCTAATTAATAAAATGACGATTTTAAGAAACCAAGAGGAAATGATTAATCAGAGTGAGTGATTGGGATCCTTTGACGTAATAGAAACCCTTATTTGTTTGTGATTAGCTTACTTTTGTCTATTAAAATTTTAAGAAAACTTGTATATATTAAACAAATAAAATTTATATAGGATATTAAGAATTGTAAAATAAATAAACTCCCTTAAAAAATTATATAAAAGAATAGAAAATCATTTATATAATCATTTAAATCTATTTTAAATAAATTTTTACAAATCGAAAATGGCCGCCAATATTTTTGAAGCGATGAAAAATATAATAAAAAATATTTTATAATTTTAATGGCCGCCATTATATTTGAAGCGATGAAGAATATATATAATAAAAAATATTTTATAATTTTAATGGCCACCAATATACTTGAAGCGATGAATATATATATAATAATATTTATTTTAAAATTTTAATGGCCGCCAATATATTTGAAACGATGAAAAATATATAATATATAGATATTTTACAATTTTAATGGCCGCCGATATATTTAAAGTTTTGAAAACATCTCTTAAAAATCAATACGGTATTGATTCTACAATACCAAAATATCACTACGGTATTGAATCTACAATGATAATATCAATACGGTACTACAATGGATATTGATTTCACAATCCTACAGTTTACTAATGGGAAGATTTGCTAATATATATAAACCCTTTTAAAACATTGGGAATATAATTTAAATGTGTTTAAAATGCAAAGCATCCATAGCATTTTTTGTGACTATATCAACCATAGTTAATTTTATAAATATAGTTATTCATCTAGTAAGGCGTCATAAGACACTTTAACATCTTCATGATAAAAATCTAACAAATATTTTTTTTTCTATCACCATCTGAAAAAGGTTGGTAAGGCTTTTGTGTAAGTAATATCTGCAGATTGGTAAGTGCTGCATGATGAATTAAAAACCATTCATTTATTTGGGTTATAAATGTATCTAAGAGAGAAGACATTTGTTTTATAATCTCTTCTACTGATCCTATATTGTTTTAACGATGAGCTTGCCTTGCTGCAAGTCGAAGGAGACAAATATTAAACACGTATAGCTCTGCTTTTGACTCAACAATAACATATAAAATATGAAAATCTTCATCAACACATTAATAAAATGCTCTCCGCTATTCTCATCTTCTTAATCAAGTCGATGTCATGTTTTTGAAAAGTATTACATAAAAAGTTCTATAATTAAATAATACATTCTAATGAGAAAAAAAATGGAATAAGCTTTGAATCCAATAATTTTATTGCTTCTGAGGAAATATTTCTTTCAGGCCATTGTGATATTTCAGTAATAGCAAATAATCGGCTCTTATAACTCCATAAAAGCTGTTACTGCTTCATGGCGAAGACTCATCTCTTTGGACAAGCTTGCAATTTCTTTCTCCCTGTTGGACAAGGAGTTTAATAAATAATTATTATTTGACTAGAAATTTGAAAATGGTAGATAAATATTACGCCACTAAAAATTTGAAAATAATAAGTAAATATCACGCCGGAAAAAAATCGAAATTAGTAATTGATAAAATATCTTAGTAGATGAAGGTGATAAATAAATGTAATTAAATATTTAATATGAGATAGGAATAAATATTAACAAATATAAATTAATATAAACAATAATATTTTTGAAAAATATATCCGGCATCTGCATTTTTTGGCTTGGGGGGGGGGGGGGGGGGGGGGGGGATTTGTCCCCCTGCCCTTCCCCCGCTGCGTACGCGTCTGAGTCAACGCTCTATATAAATTTATGCTCAATTAAACTGCCCATTGCGGTCTGATAATTATAAACAAATAAAAAGTATATTTCTTATAATTTGTACATGAAATTTATAAAAACTATTTTAATCTCATTAAATTTTTTTTTTCGAGTAATTTAAAATTTAAACTGATAATATAAAAAAAATTAATAAGGTAGTGGACAGTCTTCTTTGTATTTAATAGTCCATGATTATATGGGTATTATTTAGTCTAGCAGTAAAAAGAACCAGAAGCAGGGATTTCTGCATCCCTTTGAAATGACGATTTACCCTCTACCGCAGAGGTATAATCCTGCCTTGCGGCGAAGTATGTGAGCAGGGTTCGAACGCCTGCAAGCAAATTATTTTATAAAAATGTAAACTGCTCATTTTTGATAAATGGACATTCATCTAAAAAAATTTGCTCAACCCGCCCGCCCAATGTAAATAATTTTCATGGTTGATTTGGTTTATTTATTTAATTAATATGCAATTTAAATAAAAAAATGATTTTTAATTAATAAAAGTCTATTCCGACCATTTCGAAGAAAAATATTTAAAATATAATTGCCCATAGCCCGTCCATTGTTTTGAAAGCATTTTCGAAGCCCCACCGTAAACCCGCCCAAGGTTTATAATCTTTTAGAAAGCGGGCGGGCTTAAAACCGTCAAATGTTGACCCCCTACCATTAAGAGGTAGAGAAGAGACACGATCCCAGCCCGCTAATAATATTGTTTGTACATGAACGTAAACAATAAAAAACATTTTAATAATTTAAAGTTTATCTAGTGAGGAGAATAAAATTGTATACATTTCATTTCTTTATGAATTAATAACCTAAATAGAAAAGATTAAATTACTCAAGGTCATTATAGTTTTTTAAGTTAAAATAATAAGAATATATAAATAATAATTTATAAAAACGCTATTTTAAATGTTGATGAGGTCAGTAACTTAAAAATAAAATTTATCTGGAATTTTGTGAGGTCGATATATAATAAAAAAAATGGAGATATTTAATTTTAATTTAAAATATGAATTTATTTAAATTTTGTTAAACTCAACTAACCAAAAACCTCAAAAAAATTATGCCTCCATTAAAAGTAACTATCCTCTTTATAATAATAAACAACAATTCGATCTTATAATAGTAATTGTATGTATTTAAAAAATATGATCAGGAAATTAATTATCATAACGTTACTTGTTGGAGAAGATTTAAAAATAAAATAATAGTTAACAAATTTTAACTAAAGATAATTTATAGATAAGGTATTAAGAATATTTTAATATTGCTATATATATATATATAACTTACTATTTATATTGGTAGAATTTTTTGCGATAATTAATATAACAAATATTCAAAACATTAAAAGATTCGTAAAAGAATTGACTTTTTTGATAATATTGAAAATTAATTTATAAAAGAATTACAAAATAACAATATGGAGGATGCAAAAAATTTCTTTTAATGTGAGGCTTAGAAGAAAATAGCAAATGTGGAATGGAAAATTAAAAAGTGAATATCAAAAATAATAATAATAAAATCTTTGAACATATGTTTATAAAAATTACTGCGATCTATTTTGTAGCATTTTTTAAAAATCATGTATTTTTTACAACAAAAAAATTAACTGCTAAAAAAAGAATACTATCTCATTGTTATACTTATATCATTATTCAACGAATAACACCCCCCCCCCTATGTGGTGGTGAAATCAGTTGCAAAATGGTGTAATTTAAATATCCAAATTTAAAAGTCATCTCGATTTCAATAATTTGAAGGTCATTAGTAAATCAATATTTTAAGTTTTTTCGATAATGTAAATAAATAATTAAGAAGAAAATTTTTGTGTATTTTTTAATAACTTGTATTTAGGAAAATATTTCAAAGGAAGGCGACATACGACACACATCCCTTAAAAATATACTAATATAATTTTTTAAATATATATATAATCACATATAAACTTGTCGGACACGATGGGAATAAAAAAAATTACATATTATATTTTTTAATACTTATCTTATTCAGCTCAGTTACTGAATTTCACAATTTTTTTAAAAATCTAAGGTCATTTCATGAAGCGTATTTTGACCCATTTTTCCATAATTTTTTTTAATTTCCAAATAAAGGATAATAATTTTTAGAATATATAATTCTCCAAAAACATCAATCAAATTTTGCTAATAGTATTCTCCTAGGAGTTTTCATTCAATTTTATAATACCAGTATTTATCCAATGATATTTATTGCATTAAATATTCATTCAATAATATTTATTTTCTATCATGATTTATATCTAAACAATTTTTTATTACAGTTGAATTATATGGATTATTAGTGTCCGGGCGCGTGATACGGAAAATTTAATCAGTGAGTTTGAATTGTGGTATAAATTTACTATGTTTGGTTATTTTGCTGGAGCCTGCTGAAGCACTCAATCCGGTATAAGAAAACTTTGGCTCAATTTCCAAATTTTGAAGTTCTTATATAATCTTGCATGTTTGCCTATTACAATATGTACAAATGAAAGTACCTTTTCCAACTTGAGAAGGTTGAAAAAATATTTATGAAATTGTACTCACAAATCTCGAGTAAATGGGTTAGCTCTTTTAAATATCTACAGAGATATGGTACTACAACAAATGAAATTCTTGATGAATTGGCAAATTCCCAACGAAAATTAAAATTCACATTATAATTATAATATTTAAAAAAAAATTTGTATAAAATTGTATTTGAAAAGAAGTTATAAAAACTTGTCTTTTAAATTATTTTCTAGTCAATATTTAATACACACTACAATTTATTCAATAAAAAAGTTGTTCTACTTATATTGTATGAGAATTTTCTAAGCTAAGGCTAGTTTTTAAAGCAAATATAATAAAAAAATGCACTACTTAAACTTTATTTCAATTTAACATATAAAATTTTCTTATTTATACAACTTAAAATAATTAAAAATTTGGTTATAACCTTTATTTCTTTTTCAATATCCATGTGTGAATTATTAAATAAAAGCGAAATATTTTGATATGATTATTGAATTATGAGTAGTTCAATAGAATATAACAGTGGTTTGGGGGGGGGGTCCCCTCCCCATAGGAAAATCTTGGATATGCCATTGATCTGAAGGCCCATTAAGAATTTAAATGGTATGAAAGATTCATTTTTATGGATAATCTTCCAAAAAATACAATGGAAGCATTGCATATATAAGTTTTCCAAATATATTAAAATTAGAGTACCCCTAACCCTAAAGGGTGTGATATATATCTTAATATTAGGATATATTTTGGCAATGATATAATTAAAATTTGGTTATAACCTTCATTTCTTTGCGTGAATCTATTATAATAATCCTCAAAACCTTCAATCAAATTTAGCCAATAGTGTTCTTTTAAAAAATATTTGTCTAATAAAAATCATCATACAAATGTTTAGCTAATAGTAATTTCTATCATGTGATGCTAGATTATGTATTTTATTTTTAATGGTGATTTTATATACTACCCAAGATACTTCACCAGAAGACGTTAAAGATATTGGTAATTTATGTTACAGATGATTTTATTTTAATAAATATTTCATATTGATGCCTCAGATTTAGATAAATTATCAAATTAAGAAATATAGCCTACCCATTTCATCAGTGGGTTAGGATTTAGATTTTCACAGTATCAGTGTTTAAATTCTCAAATACATTTTCTTACAATAAAGATCTTTTTGAAGAATGAATCCATGTCATGAGAAGATGTGAACTTACTCAAAATTCGGGAGAACAAATAACGAGGGAGTGCTTTGTGACTTCCATTATTAAATCCCTTTAAGAAAGGATCTAATCCAACAATCTAATAAATATTTGAATTTTATAAGATTATATATTTTTTAATAAGGTAATTTTTACGTATAAGAATTGCTAGCTGATACATCATCAAGATTGCATGGAATTAGAATTTTTTCCTTAATTTGATGATGGATGAATCAAAAATTCCCGTTTATTGATAGACAAATTTGAAATAAGCCTATATGAGGTGTGAATAAATTTTCATTATTCTTATTATATATGTATGAAGTATATAAATTTATTACTTTCAATATAAACAAATAATTGGAAAATGTGTGAATATGCTTTTTTCCTTATTTTTTTTTTAAATTTACGTTAAATTCAAAACCATGCTTTATGAATTATCACTTTTATGTAATAACCTAGGTCTGTAATTTTTCAACTTGGTAAATCAATAAAATCATGGAAGCATATTTTGGTTTTGGACTAATTAAGAATGTATCTTAAAATTGACTTCAAAGAAATTTAAGATTTTAAATTTTTGATTATAAGTGAGAAGGATGAAAACCATCGCGTCCAGATGTAAAAAATTTGTTAATAGAATTGATAAATCCAATTATTTCTTTATTAGATAAAATTCATATAACTCACAGATCATATTTTTTTTATTCCATATTTTTCATAATATATTTGGCCTTTTTTCTAAAAATTTATAGAAATCTTGGCAGAATGCACACAGATAATCTATTCCTCTTTGTAGCCCTGCGATTATGCGCTGACATAGGAAAAAAATGAATGCTATAATAGCAGTTCGCTACATTGTTTAAGGATTGGAATATAAGAGAAATCAGACCAATTTTTGGTGAAGAGCATATTTTGCATATTCAACACATCAGATTTTATTTGTAATAAACAATTTAAAGTTGCAAAATTGGTTGAACAACTTTAACTCATTTAAAGAAACATTTTTATTTTTTTAACTATAAACTTTTCTAAATCTGACTACTTGTGAATATTTTTAATTTCTATCCATTGGAAACTTTCCAATCTAGAGGTTCTGACTAAAGAGCAAAATATAAAATTTATGTCTTTATACATTAAATTAAATAAATTATCTTTCATTGCACCTATTTAAATTTTTTTGTCCATTTTTAACATTTATATCAAATATTGCTAAATATTGCTACTTAATGGATTTTTTAAAAATGCTTTAAAATTTCAATCAGAGATATTCATGGGCCGGCTTGCGACCTATGGGGTGCCAGGTATAATATTTTTTCTAACGCGCTTGGGTCAGGTCTGGGTTTTTGATGCAAAAATTTAATGGCCTTGGGTCTTAAAATATTTTATTTGAATTTAGCTTATTAAACTGTAACTTAAAAATATATTGTATTATTTTTCTTCTAATAATATTAAATTTCAGTAAAACAAAGTGATTGCCTAAATACAATGAAATATTGTTTTTTTTTCATTCAAAACAATAAATGAAATTTTTGGATATGGGCTTAGACAAAATATTTGTAACTTAGGATGGGCTTGGATTTGGATTTTCTTATCAAACATGGACTGAGCCTACAAATTATTTTTGTTGAGGCCTGATGAATAAATTAAGCCCATGAAGGTTAATTTCAATAATTGAATTATTTCATTTTTCATCTGACTTTATTTGAACTAAAGGAATGGACAAACCACAGATATGCTTTATTTAAATCATTGCACAAATTTCTAATAATTGCTGAATTGTTAATTGAAAGAAATTACGTGAACCTAAAATCCTTTTTATTTATTTCATTACAAAAAAATTTTCTGACCTATGGTGAAAATACCTTCCCACTTTAGCTTACACGCTGAAAAGACTCCACCATCTCCAGTGACACAGACTGCAAATTCTCATCCACCTCCAATACTCCACTATTTAACTTTATTGCTGCTGCGGGTCTATCCCTCTACGTAATTGGTCTTGATGCCTCATTCCCACTTTGCCATCTTGAAAACCGACCCTACGCAACTTCTTCCCAACATTTTTAATCAACACATCTGACTGTCACTTCCTCCTTTCCCCATATACTCTTGCCCACACTGTCTGTCCCACAGTGAATTTTACTGTACCATCCTTCTTTCGTTCCATTTTTGGACTATCGGACTCCGGTTTTAAAGCATCCAATCCAATTCTGTTCTGCGTCCTACAAATTTCTCTGACGGTTACATCTCCTCCCCCTTCCAACTGTTAATATAGTACGCCACAGATATCCACACTTCTCCTTTCCCGTACTTAGCCTTTCATAGCCATCCTTCACCACTCCAACCATCCGCTCAGCCTGTCCATTTGAGCTCGGATGAGCTAAAAGATGCTTGATCTCAATTTCTTTGCAAAACCTTGCAAACTCTGCACTGCTAAACGCCAGTCCACCATCCGAAACTAACACCTTCGCTACTCCGAACTTCGCTCATAGATTTTTCAATTTTCTGACCACAATTTTCGTTATCCACCCACCATCTCAAACTCCACCCACTTGGAATATGCATCTACCACGAGGAAATACTCTTTCCTTTCAAATTCAAAGAAATCTACATGGATTCTCTCCCAAGGTCTTGATGCTTTCAGCCATGTTATCTTTTTATCCCTCGCTGGCATACTTGCCCAGGTATTGCAA